TTAGAATTCTTTCATGGAGTCGACAAGCATTTGATTAAGGGTGATCCAGTTGATATTGTATGCTTGGCTTTTCAGAGAGCTTTTGACAAGGCCCCTTCCTCACCAAAAGCACTTAAGGCAACCAAGTAGCCATGGGATAAGAGAAAGGTCTTCTCACGGATCAAACTGGTGAAAGGCTAGGAATAAATGATCAGTGCTCACCATACAGAGGTTAACAGCAAGTCACCCCACAGTTTTTACTGGGACTTGCGCTATTCAACATTAATTAGTGAACTGGAAAAGGGGGTGAAGTCGCAAAGTTTGAAGATAATACAAAATTATTCAAGATAAGTCCAAAGCTGATTGAAAAGAGTTAAAGGCGTCTGTCAAAAAATGGATAAGTGGGCAATGAAATGGCAATACCACATCGGGGGGGGAGGGGAACATCCCAACTATACACCTACAATGACAGAGACTATATTGGCTGTTACCACCCAACAAAGTTCTTGGAGTCACCACAGAGTCATCTGAAAACTTCCATTCAGTGCACAGACATGATCAAAAACAAACAGGCTGTGTCTACACTGCACCCCTTTTCCGGAAAAGGGATGCAGATGAGACAAGTCAGAATTGCAAATGAAGCGGGGGATTTAAATTTTCCCCGCTTCATTTGTATAAGCAGGGCTGCCACTTTTTTCTGGCTCGGGGCTTTGCCAGAAAAAAGCACCAGTCTAGACGGGGATCTTTCGGAAAATAAAGCCTTTTCTGAAAGGTCCCTTATTCCTGATTTTAAGAGGAATAAGGGACCTTTCGGAAAAGGTTTTATTTTCCAAAAGATCCCCGTCTAGACTGGTGCTTTTTTCTGGCAAAGCCCCGAGCCAGAAAAAAGTGGCAGCCGTGCTTATACAAATGAAGCGGGGAAAATTTAAATCCCCCGCTTCATTTGCAATTCTGACTTGTCTCATCTGCATCCCTTTTCCGGAAAAGGGGTGCAGTGTAGACACAGCCACAGTGTCCCTTTTTAATAGACCTAAGACAGAAAATATCATCATGCCACTATATACATTCCTGGTGCCCTCATTCCTCAAATACTGTGTCTAGTTCTGGTTGCCCTATCTCAAAGGCACTAGTAGAACTGGAAAAGTTTCAGAGAAGGGCAAAAAAGATGACAAAACTAAAAAGATTAAGGCATTCAATCAATGGCTATAAAAATCATGACTGGTGTGGAAAAACTGAATAGGGAATGTTGAAACTACACAAGCCAAGGATCACCGAACAAAGTGAACAGACAGCAGGTTTTAACACCAAGTGGAGGTATCTCCCCACACAGTGCACAACTAACCTACAGAACTCATTGCCATTGGATAGTGTGATGGCCAAAAGTAGAATGGAGTTAAAAAAAAAGAGAGGTTCATGGAGGATAGGCCCATAATGGATGGTCTGGGATGTAACTGGTTTTCCCAGGAAGATTTCAAAGATGAGACCTCAGTTAACTCTTTTGATTCCATTTAATGATTTGGTTTCTCTTCAGCAGAAACTGTCACTAACAAAATGGCTTAAACTCATTCCTGGTAGAATTGCATAAACTTGCAAGTACAGGACCCCAGATCTGAATGTAGCTGGCACTGGGGTGAGCACTCACCCCCACAATGCCTCCTGCTGGGAATTAGCTCTTCAGCTCTGGAGCACCCCCTTTCAGCTGGTGGCTCACTCGCTGTTACCTATTTTCCCTCCACCTCTGCGTTAGGACCCACATCCATCCTGGACCATGGGGTCCTCCCCTCTGGGTACTACCCTGCCACACAGCCTGGGGCCCTTCCCCTCAGAAACCTCAACCCTCTACACCCACCTTGCCTCAGTGACCCCCCGCCCCCCCAGTCTTCATCTAGCCCCTGCCTCAGGGGCAGACTGCAGTCTGAAAAGGCCACTCAGTATTGGCAAGGGGGTGGACCTGCTGCCTTTGCCTACCCTGGCTGCCTCTCTGCAGTCCTAGTAGCCTCAGGCCTTGCTTCAGGCCCTGCAGCCTGGGAGCTTGCCTGGTCAGAGCTTCTCCAGCTCTGCCTGCCTTTCCTCAGCCCTGCTCTAAATCAGGAAGCCTCCAGCTTCCCTAGCAGCCAGGTCCCTCCTGCTCCACTGCTGGAGCAAGAGTGAGTCTGTCTGCACTCTTCCAGGAGCCTGCCTTTATACTGCCCTCAGCTGGGCCCTAATTGGCTAATTCCTGCCACAGCTGCTGGCTCTACAGCTCCGTGGCTCCAGCCCTCTCCCAGGGCTGGGTTTGAATTCTTGAAGGGCCACTTCAGGGCAGATGCTCTGCCACATTAGCCCAGACAATGTGGCTGTGTCTAGACTGGCCAGTTTTTCCAGAAAATCAGCCGCTTTTCTGGAAAAACTTGCCGGCTGTCTACACTGGCCGCTTGAATTTCCGCAAAAGCACTGACTTCCTACTGTAAGAAATCAGTGCTTCTTGCAGAAATACTATGCTGCTCCTGTTCAGGCAAAAGTCCTGTTGCGCAAAAGTTTTGCGCAAAAGGGCCAGTGTAGACAGCTCAGATTTGTTTTCCGCAAAAGCCCCAATGGCGAAAATGGCAATTGGGGCTTTTTTGCGGAAAAGCGCGTCTAGATTGGCACGGACGCTTTTCTGCAAAAGCACTTTTTGCAGAAAAAGCGTCCTTCCAATCTAGATGCTCTGTTCCGAAAATGCTTTTAACGGGAAACTCTTCCATTAAGCATTTCTGGAAAATCATGCCAGTCTAGACACAGCCTGTGTTGCAGAAGGCCAAGAAGATAAAATGGCTTGGTTGCAGTTGCAGTGTTCAAAATAAGGGCGCACTTGACTGAGAACAGTGAGGTTGAAAACCATTGTCACATATCAGGCATCTACTCTGATGAGGACTGTGCTGAAATGCCTGCTAGTCCTTCAGAGGTGGTACAATTGCTGTCTTCTCCTTCTGTTTTTTAGGAAGCTTTGGAAAGATCCTTCCACCTTCAGCCCCGAGCGTTTCCTCACCATTGACGGGATGGAGGTCAACCGGGCCGAGAGCGAGAAAGTGATGACATTCGGCCTGGGGAAGAGGAGGTGCATTGGGGAGAACATTGGCAAGTGGGAGATCTTCCTCTTCCTGACCACCCTGCTTCAGCAACTGGAGTTCAGCATACGTGATGGGGAGAAGGCGGACATAACGCCTCAGTACGGACTGACCATGAAGCACAAGAGGTGTGAGCACTTCCAGATTCAGCAGCGCTTTGAGGTGAAGAGCTCTGAGTGAGCTCCCTGGCCTTCCAGCTAGGACAAGGGGATGGGGAGATGCCACATCACAGTATTTTGGCTTGTGGAAATCACCCCCCCAATGCTATGTTAGGGCTGACATGCCCTAGAGCGTCAGATATCACAGGCTGTGTTGACTCTGCATCTGAACTGACACAGTGGCGGTTGGGTCCTATCTGACTTGCACTTGCTACTGCCGTCTGCTGGCCTTCCAAGAGTGTATTGCAAACTGACCAAGCCTGCCCCGTGTACTCTGAGGAGCATGCCGTGTGGGGCTACCCGATATGTCACCTAGTTAGTGCCATCATGCTTACCTGCAGAAACAACAGACTTCGCAGATATATTTTGATCAGGTAGCTACTGATCTTGTGAGGTTTGATGCTGAGTTCTCTGCAAAACTGCTCTGGATGTCCCTGAGGTGCAGGCCTTTTATGATGGACACCTGGGCTACGTCTAGACTGGCATGATTTTCCGGAAATGCTTTTAACGGAAAATTTTTCCGTTAAAAGCATTTTCGGAAAAGAGCATCTAGATTGGCACGGACGCTTTTCCGCAAAAGCACTTTTTGCGGAAAAGCGTCCGTGGCCAATCTAGACGTGCTTTTGTGCAAAAAAACCCCGATCGCCATTTTCATGATCGGGGCTTTTTTTGCGCAAAACAAATCTCAGCTGTCTACACTGGCCCTTTTGCGCAAAAAGGACTTTTGCCCGAACGGGAGCAGCATAGTATTTCCGCAAAATGCACTGATTTCTTACAGTAGGAACTCAGTGCTTTTGCGGAAATTCAAGCGGCCAGTGTAGACAGCTGGCAAGTTTTTCCGGAAAAGCAGCTGATCTTCCGGAAAAAGTGGCCAGTGTAGACACAGCCCTGGGTTTTATTGTGTGCCTTAGTTTAGAATAAGCAATTTTGGCCCAAGTTTGTCGCTGAAATTAACTAGCTAGCTGTGGCGGCAAAATCGATATGAAATATAGAATTTAATGTACAACCTGTAATTGGAGCACACGTTACAACCATTCTGTATCCTCTCATAGACTAAAAGTTTTAAGGAGAAACATAACCCCAGTCTCTCAAATGGCTGGGGTTGAACAACTTTTAGTCTAGGAATAGTGAAACTTGCATTCTTTGCAGAAAGCTAGCTCATACCCATGCACTGCTTAAATCCTATTTTGAAGACTCGTGTGAACTTCAGTGTTGTAGGGGGGGAATTTCACCCGGTTTGTGGCTGGCCATCTAAATCTGCCCCTGGTCTACACGAGGGCTTTATTTTGAAATAACTCCCCTAGGGTCAAACTAATAAGTGGAGCATCCACACTACCAAGCCTGTTATTTCGAAATCACAGGCCACTTATTTTGAAATCTGGACTCCTGCTTTCCTTGAGGAGTAATGTGAATTTCAAAATCGTTATTTTTGAAATAGCGGTAGTGTGGATGCTCCGGTGCCACTATTTGAAATAACGACCCCCCCAGAGGCATTCAGACTAATTACTCCCCAGTGCTTCCTGGGGCTCTAAGTCAAGGTAGCACGTCCACATTAAGGGAGCCTGCCTCGGACTAACTTCGAGGCTTTCCTGTAGTGAGGACATGCTATTTTGATTTTGTTATTTTGGGAGTTAAATTGAATGTAGTTATTTCAAAATCATTTCCTAGTGTAGACATGGCCTCATGGTAGCCCTCTCCCTGAAATATGTTAGACTAATAGAACATGCTCCACTTGTATGAAACATGAAAGTGCTGGGATTTGAGCATTTCCTTCAATACTTGGAATTTTTTAGGGCTACTTCAATAACCCCTGGTAAACAACCTGATACTGTTATACATGAATTAGAGGTCCTACTAGACCAGGTCCAGTAGTTTGACAAACTTCTTCAAAGTTGCAAGTTAAAATTGGTGAAAACAGAAGGCAGACAGTGAGGGGAAACCCAAAAGACCTTATTTACCTGCAAACTGTATTGCAGCTCTTTAATACTAGTTGTTCGAGAGCATTTGTAACCAATGTAGATGTTCAGTCTGTAAAAGGTGAAGGGTAGGAGGGACAGTAAGGGGCACCTTTATACTGACAATCTCTGCAGCATTTCATATGTGCACCCAGAATGCTGTTATCACCACTACAAATACAAAGTGTATCAATGCTCACTGCATGCTTATATTGTACCTGGCTGAAATGTGATCTGTACAGAACAGTTTCATTTAACTGATAAAACATAGTTAAGAATCTCATGTAGACAATGTCTGAAATAAACATTAGCATGGGATGCTCTTGATTGTAGCCTGGGTCTGATTTTAAACACTCAGATTCTCTATTCTGAAATCCACCAACTGTTAGTTCCTACAGTGAGGTATCTTACCAATCAAATCAATGGGAATTTTGCAGTCCTCACTAAGGGTGCAGCTACACAGCACCCGAAATGCAAAATAAGATATGCAATTTGTGCTACGCAAATAGCGTTTATTACACTATTTTGAAATTCAATTGAATTTTGAAATTTGGTGTCTCCACAATGTCAGATGTCAAAATAGTGCATTATTTCGAGACATCCCTTAACCCTTGTGGACCAAGGGTTACAGGGATGCCAAAATAGGTCTCGAAATAGCAGACATGCTCAAAATAGTGGGCGCATTAAAAAGACACTGGGTAGCTATTTTGGGATACTTCTGGTATCCCACAATAGCCCCACTGTTACCATTTGACAAGATCAAGTCTTTTCTCTCCATACAGAGAATGCAGCTATATTTATTCAATACATAGTGAAGTCAATAGGGAATTTTTTTGATGCTATGTACCATAACCTACCAAGCCAGTTCAGTCCTTGTTTTCACTGAAGCGGGACTCACCCTACTGAGATGAAATGTTCATATTATATTGTCTCTATATAAATATCTGTTCCTTTCCTAATGATTCCCAATCTTCTGTTATTTAGTTTTTAAGACTACCACTGCACAGATGTTTTCAGGCAATTACCTATCATTTTTGTAGGTACAGTTGGGATTATATTTTTCTAGGAGCATTTCTTGCATTTAGCAACACTAAATTCCATCTGCCTGGGTTGTTGCCCAGTCACCCAGTTTTGTGAGCTCCCTTTGTAACTCTTTGCAATCAGCTTTGGGCATAACTGTTTTGAATAATTTTGTAGTGTGTGAAAAATTTGCCATCTGTTTGCCCCTTTCAAGAACACGTTTAACAGTAATGGTCCAAAGGCAAATCCTAGCAGCAGACAGACCACTCATCCCTACGCATCCCTCCCCGCGTCTTGTAAGTGGAGTACCCGCTCCGGCAATGTTTTCACCGTGAGGGAAAGACCCCGCAGTGGCTGGATCGCCCGGCCACCTGCCCCCCGTTTCTAACCAACTCCCTGCCCCCCAGGCAGAGCAGCTCAACCTGTGCCCTGGTGTCAGTGCAGGGGCTTGCAGCAGCCCTCGAGCACCGCATGAGATCCAGGGGTTCCCACTCGGGGGGGACTGCCCCAGCCCCCCATGAGTGGGGGGGCTCAGCCTGGCGCCGCCCACCCCAGGGCAGGGAAGGGCCCAACGGCCCCCTCGGGCTGGGGGCAATGGGCAGAGGGGGCGCGGCCCCGCCCAGCCCCATGGCGTGCCGTGCCCGGGCTCCAGGCTGCCCGATGGGCACCGATTGCGGGAGCAGGGCTCCGACTACACGGCACCCAGCCCACACACAGGGCGCTTTGCGCAGGCGCACAGCGGACTTCTTTTTCGCGGCGCAGGGCTGCGGGAGGTCGGCTTGTCTATGCTCCCGGGGCTGGGTAGAGCGCCAGCCTGGCCCTCACCAAACCGCCGGACTCTATGACCGGGAAGCGGGCCCTTCGCC